TATATTTTAAAAAAATAATATACTCCACATAACAATACTTACTTCAACTTTTTCTTGAGGTGATTCAACTTCTCACTCCAAAACTATTTTCCAAGTATTTCAATTGTTCATTGAGGAATTAACAAGTTCTTTATGATGTAGAATGTAAAAACTCTTCACGCTCATTAAATAAAATGATAAGTGGTAAATGGAAATAGACCAAGCCTGGGGTCAAAAGGTTGAAAAAAACAATACAAGCAAAAAAAAACACAAACAAGTGAAAAGATCCCAAAGGTTAATCCCTAGCTAGTGCCAACAACAATAGAACGGCAACTAATAATGTTCTTAATATAACAACCTAAATGAAAAGTAACTAACTGTAACAAAGAATAGAAGTTCTCCACATCTATATTATGAGCAAGACTAATTTCTTAATTTAGCTAGTTGAAATAAAAAACAAGTAACAAATACATGCTCTTCATCCTCAATGTACCCATCGTCATATAATTTACAAATACGTTCACTCTTATCAATATTAACCCAACGTCCTTCCTCAGTTCCAAGCCTATGAGATCCAGTTCTATGCCTAGCAATAATATGACGTAAGGACATAGAAATTCATGCAAGTAGGTAATACTGTTCACAATAAACAAGCATACGATTTACACGAAGTTGATAAAACTGCATCTTGGTGCCGCGCTTGGTTAATGTTCAGAAACTACTCCTTTAGACATTCATGTAGTGTTATAAGTTGCAAGTTTCAATCATGTTCCGTCACATTTCACCTCAAAAACCAAGTTATCACATCCGCTAACCATCCTTTGGCACGTATGACACTCAAAACTTGAAGAGTAAGGCAAGAAGCATCAAGAGATCTCACACTTCTATTGTAAGTGATGATCAAGTGTAGAGCTTCAACCTCTAGAGGTAAACAACATGTTTCTGCAAGAAAAATAGCATATGGAGTTTGATTTTTCACACCCAATTCTTCTTGTAAAAATATCTTCTGCACCCTATCCACACGTTCCCAACCTGTCTTTTTACAACCATAACCTCACACTTGGGTTCCATATAATACTACCGGCAACACTAAGCTTCTGAATAAAAATTTCCTAAGACTCCAAAGCACTAGAGGAATCATTCTACACCGATTTAACAATGACTATATAGCTTTGTAACCACTTTTTACTCTCTTTTGCAAAGTGTTCAACTATAATCATTAGAAAAATCAATGTCTAGATATTAATAACTCTTCACCTCTGATTGTAGATCCTTATAATAGAAGGAGAACTTGAATCTAGTGTCCGCTGTCATGACTTTAGACTTTTCTAGATTTACTTCCATCTGATTCTGGGTACCAAAGCTAGCCAAAGTGTATAGGTGCTTCTGTAAACTAATTGCATCATGTGCAAGTAATATTATATTATTTGCATACAAGAAAACTTTGATAACATAGTTTCCAAGATTGATAGCTTCACTATAACATGACTCCAACCACTCCTCGATATTATCTGTAGAAACTCCAAACAAAGCAAGAGAGAGAGATTAACATTGAATCACTCCAATGCTACTCAAAACTTCTTAAGTTTGAAAAGTGTTGATCTTGGCTCGAATACAATGATATAAAGTTATTATTTAAATAAATAAAAATAAGTTTATTGGGATATCTCTCCTTTGGAGATGAAGCTAGACATACAACCTCATCAAATATTAACATGCAATGTACATATTTTTTGCAAGACTAAACAAGCGCTGAAAAACCCCAAAGCTAGGAGATAATACTTCAGAATTGAATGTTGTGGTACCGGCATGATCTGATTTGCGTCTCCTCAATGCAGTTGACATAACTAAGGCATTGAGCAGACGCAACACTCATTGGAAGCAAGTTTGACAAGACACAATACTTCAACAATAGAAGGGTAAGATGGAGAGGAGAAGCCTTTTGAAGTTCGGATACTAGTTCAATCTTACCTCGATCTGAGGCTTAATGCCAGTCCCTGGGACTGAGTGCCATCGCCTGGGTCTCAGAACCAGTAAATGAAATGTCTTATAAAATGAAGATCTATTGATTTTTCATTTAGCCGATTCTTGGGCTGTTGCCTAAGATAATCTCGGGGCCTATAAGGTATCAGGGGGCATAAGATATGAACTGAGAACTGCATTCACACAGTGACTAGTCCAAGAGGGGAGAGAATTGAGTTTCTTCTGAATTGAACAATCAAAATTTTGAGTGATTTTAAGACAGGTGATATTGTCAAGCCAAAAAGCTGATGGGGAATGGAGGTGGCGTTCCGTTTCGTTTCTCATAGTCAAGATGCAACGTCCCTATCTGTCGAGAAAGTCAAGTGGAACACGAGTGGAGTTTCGAGTTTAGTGCAGTGAGCTAATTGTATGAAAAAAAGGGAGAGGTGTTGGAGGACAAAACTGGCGTAGAAATTAGTGACAAGGAACTGTTGACCAAATCACCTCTGAGCTGCAAGACTGTTTGGTTAGGTTCAGTAACGGAGTCAGGAATAGCTACCATGGTGACGGACGGATAAGAGGAAATTTCCCCCTCTAGGCCACTACCCGAACCCTTTCTGATAGGAATCTGCTGGCTTGTTCAGTAGCAAAAAGAAAATCTGGCCATTTTTTGCTATATTAGCTGGTGCGCATGAACGTATTGCTATAGCACCTGGATTGTGATAAAATCGTATTAAAGATGCACACATGAATAAAGGTCAAACGTCATGAAGAACTAAGGGCCAAGGTTGAAATCAAAGAAAAATATGAAGAAAATTCAAAGCAGGTCAACTTGCAACTCTCTTTCGAATAGGGATTATGCATAGGGATTCTTCCATGCTCTTCCATAGAGAACCAGATTGAACTTTGTGAACTGACATGTACTCAGAAGACATGCGGTACTGAACTCCTCCTTCAGAGCAGGGTTTAGGTACTCTTTATTCCGGCAGATGTTAAAACTGTCGCAGTATACGAACTGGACAAAACTGCATGGCAACCACGACCTATAGTACTAATGTTCCAGTGGCAGTTGAACGAACGCAATGTGACCTTATAAAGAGACAGAAAACCGGCACAGTCATTATATACGGTGGGTCTGACAGTATTACAACCTAGTTTGAATCTAACATTGAATCAATTTCATAAACGAGAATGGATACAAAAAGGAGGGAATTCTCAACCTGAATTACAAAATTGTCTCTTTTGCAGTTGAAAGTATCGAGTCCGGATTGATCTATTAAGATATCTTATCCACTTGCCTTTTGCCTTTGTTGGATAACTCTTAGGTCAGACGAAAATTTTGAAAGTAAAATCCATAAATTAGTGTATTGTTTAGGACGCGGAGTTTATTGTAGAGAGTTTAGCTCATTTTTTATTATCTGACCAATCAATGAAAGATTGTCGATTTCATTGCATGTTGCTGTTGATAAGGGTCAAGCGAATCCACATTGTCGTCTTGTTTTATACAAATGGCGATTTGAGGGACACTGGTGTTCCGGACATTCTGAGTCAATGTAAAGTGAAGTAGTTGCGGCCTTCTGAGTCCAGGTACTACATGGTTCGACACTCATGTTAAAGACTGCTGTAACATGGTAATGCTCGTTGCCAACACGAAGGTTCCCCAACTACTAAATATCCGCAGGTACTGATGACGTCAGAACTGCTGGCAGTTGATGTTACCCTCATGCTGCTGAGTTGCAGGAAAAAACATGAAGCGGGCTGTATGGAATATGCACTAGAAAAGTAGAAACGACAAAGTGATTGGCTTCTGTCGGCTGCCGGATGTAGTTTAAGGGAGCTAAACCTATTGGCTCCACATAATCGTCCAACTGTGGGTTGATCTCATGGTCGGCCTCGAGTTCAGCGTGGTTTAAATTTCTGCCAGAGGCCATGATCCCGGAGAGGTTGACAGTTGCAAATACCGTTGACTTATTGAGCTGGATATTTGTGCCATTATTTGTGTCTTTTTAAGTTAAGTCTGAAATTATTAAATTTTTTATTTTTTTTTAATATCGTTAATAGTAATATTTGTCCCTACACTTAATTACGATTTAATTTCAGAATTAGATTCACGATTAGGGGCAGATTATTTAGACGACGAAAATCGTCAGACGAAAATCGGATGAGACCATGAACATGTTTGTACCCAAGGAGATGTATGACGCATATTTGCACGCAAGCTATATAGCGTCGACCATGTGAATGTTAAAAGAATGATGTTTCTCTTACAGATGAGCGTTTGCAATTTTAGTTGGCCACTGCGATATTTAGAGAGTGCGTACAGTATTGTAATGACAGTATGTAGTTGAGACTGACGTTGATGAGTGATACCGAGCGTTGAATTTTGTGCTGTTTGTTGTGTGTATTTGCATGTATTTGGGCTTAAAACAGACATGTTGCTGTACGTTTTTTTCTTCCACTTTCAAGCCCAATTTTGCAGACATTTTCTTCAAATTAGAAAGAAGTAACAATGTGATCTATCCCTCGGTTTAGTAATTTATAAAAGATTTGTCTGTCGATAGTGATGCAAATGATGGTGTAATTGTTGATTTTATACATGTGTTTAACAACATAATCAGTTAGTTCTTTTTGTCACATTTCTTTTATGTGCAAAGATATTAATGTGTAATTTTACGGACAAGTGTGTTAAGTTTTAATGAGTGAAAGATTTCATCTTTTCAGTGGCAGGTTTTTCAACTGTTACATTTTTCTTACGATCATATTCTTCATCAGAATTAAATCTTTGGTAGTATACATTGCGGTGAAGAAACATTAATCAGTCCTCATCTTTGGGTTGTGATTCTGCTTCATTTTCGTCTCTTTTTTTTCAGAATATACAGGTGATATTCACAGTATTCTGTATCTTCACTCGAGTAACGTTCAAGTTTAAATTTGTTCAGCGCTCAGAACATATTACGATGTAGTAACAATCTTTATACACTGTAGTACCCAACATCAGCGATATAAAAACATTGCTTCAGTAGAAATTGAAAATATACTGGGACCATAGAGTGAGATGTGGTGTAGAAACGATCTTTATTACAGTGGTCTAACAGACTGCAGGTTCAGTTTCACTTTCGAGACAAAGTCTTCTACCTAATTTGCTCTTCCACCTCAGCAAGTAAACGAAAACGTCCAGCCCAAGGTAAGGGTGGATCGATGTCACAAAGAAGAACAACCATATCCTATGCACCGATATATTTCAAGCCTGTGTAATGTACAAACTATAGACAGATCCTAATACTCGGCCCAAAGTGCAAATATGGTATCGCTCAGCTCGATGGTTACACACTGCAATTACAGAAACATAAAATATTAGGAATGAGAAGCAAACAGGACGTGATAGAGCAAAAGAACGTCATGAAGAATACCCAACAAGATCTGAAAATGCTTGGGGGTTGAAAATGGAATTCTAAAGTGCAAACCCACACAGTCCACTGAGCTGATTATGCGTGCAAGTCGTGCAAGGAATTGTGCAGGAGTTTTGGTCTCTTACTCTAGAACAGGTAGGCCTTGATGGCTCCGTTCACAGCAACGCAAAGCTTTCCCACAACTGGCGCGTAGATCTTCACTTCAGCTCCCAAGGGCACGACAACGTCGACGCTGTGGAGAACTCCATTGACGATGCACTTCACCTTCCAGGTAAGGCCGAGCAGACCGGCGATTAAACCGGTGAGTGTGTACAGGATAGTCTGGACAGTGTGCGCTACGATGTGAAGCAGTCCATTGACCGAAAGCCCAGCGATGAGCACAATTTCGACGTCGATGTCGAAGTCTGAGTCGTTGATGCACTTAGACTTGTACTGTGTCGCTCCATATGCGAGCGAAGCAGTGGCCAGCAGCACTGCCAAGGTAGCGGCGATTGCGTACTTGGTATTCATAATGTCAGAGAGGACGAAGGGGTCGAAATGTGCAACGAATTATCGACTAGGCACAAGATGCAGAAGGCTTGAAGGTAGGAGAGTGCAGACTCGTTGAAGCTGAGTGAGATACGTCACTTGGAGCTGAACTGGAATATGTTTTCTCAGGGCAGAGAGGGGTTTATATACTGGCTCCCAGACAGGGATGACACAGTCTGACCTCGGTGGTACGTAGATCAAACCACATCAGACCAAGTAAAAGCTGGAAGCTAGAAGGTAACTTCCATTTTGGTGGGCTTACCTCTGCATGCTTAAGAAAATCATGGCACGAGTCGTAAGCTATTTATATTCAGTTTCCAGGTGAAAGCCTTTTCAGGTGAAAGTTTGTGCTTGGTTCTAAGGAGGAGGAAGTAGCACAGGTGTCCGGCTCGAACGAGGTCCTTTGTGGATAAATATCTTGGATCGGTTGATTCTATTGCCGGGGAACCTGATCCTTCACGCCGCAACTTGACTTAAGAAGAAAGTAAAAGAAAGAAATAATGACTTCCTCTTTCTCTCTTAGGTGTATCTGATACATAAAATATTGTCCTTTGCAGTCCTTTCAGGCATTAAATTGTGAATGTACAAGGTGCCTTCCGTCCTTTTTTCACGAAATTCCCACAGAGGCTTACTCTTGAGCCCAATGTGTGCAGGAGGGCCTTTGAATGCTTCTGAGTGCCGAAGCCGGGCCATTTGAATTGTGGATTCCGATTAGAATTGCAACTTTGATATACATGCTTTGTAACTACAGTACTCTTTACCATTGACGGACTTGCGTTCCTCCATTCTAGATTTTGTGATGAGATGGCACGTCAGCTGTTCGTTTACGGCAGTTGACTGCAGCATGAGATGTGGCCTCCATGACCGAAACATCGTTAATGCTACACTTGTGGAAATGTACAGTAGGTGAATTACGTGCTAAGGTACTCGTGACTCAGATCTAACAATCAGGGACTTCATCGATCATTGCCACGCCGACGCTCTTGTCAATCTCCGATGGGCACTCCCGCTCAGAACAGCCAAGAGGTCCAAGCGCATGGATAGACTCGAATCTGGAGAACACACTGTCGTTCTTGGCAGGAAAGCGACATCTATCTTCTCATGGCCAGGGACTTAAACTTTACACTATAACTCTGTATGAATGTTTTAGTGCAAATTCCTAAACTTGATCGTAAAATTGCGGTGTGCAGTGATTCGCAATCGCGAAATAGAAGCTAGCGGGTCCCATGGAAGTAGTCTGCATATCGCTGGACAATCATCGTAATGTGTGGATCGCGTGGGATCAACCTGTGATTGAGTGCCTAAGGCTCCTCTGTTATACCTCCTTTGGAAGAATACTTAATTTCCATCTTCACTCGATTTGGAACATATCTACATTACCGGCAAAATCCATCACAAGCAGGAATGGTAATTAAAATCCAGTCGAATCTTCAGTTGTGTCAAAGTTGTGGGACCTTTGACCGCCGAACAGTTTACAGAATGTGGAAGAGAATTTCCTTTAACTTTCTCGGGGTTGGGACTCTCAGTGTCTGGCAAAGAGGGTGCCAGTGCTGCATGTCGAAACAGCTTATGATATTTTGAAAAGCAATGCATCTGTATTCCGTCTGCACCTGATCGTACCTAGAGTCCGTAGCCCCAGCAGAACCCAGAAAAACGGTCACATTGACCACGCGGTCTGTCACCAAGGGCATATCGCAGATCGATGCAATCTGGAGCCACACGAAGGAGAAGAGCCGCCGTGATAGATGACAATGATGAAAAATCGCCTAATACGGACAGAACTGTGTAAGCGGGTTGGCTTTCAGTTCAGTGACTGAACAAGTTGACTGTGAATCCAGGAGCCTAGTGAGTCAACTTCTAGTAAGGACAATCGACATAAGAGTTGCCATTAATTCGGCACGTTCTTCTTCATGTAGGCAGACAAATGAATTTGAGCTTATGGGAATTTCTTACTGACGAGACACAGTATGAAATGTCTGTCCACTTCAAGTTTGTAAGTATCTCTGATATTCGTTTTGCTGGAAGTTTTTATCTGTTGTGTAGTAAATGTTGAGGTTCTAAATGACCGTAGTTAATCCAGTTCATTTAATCACCACAGGCTCTTAATTGAATTTGTGGGGAGAAAGGCTCTGAAGTGTCAAGTTCTTTTCAGAGTTCAGAGTAATGGATACCAGTGGCCAGAGAGCCATTATCCGTCAGTCCTCGATGATTTGGCATCTGCTGCAAATGACCCAAGTCTTCAACCTGATCTCGGCTTCTCGTATTTTTTCGTGAATGGAAAGGAAAAAGGTAAAACTTTTCTACTGGCGCGATGAAAAGACACCAAATAGTTGAAACTTGAAATTCTCTCGACACCAATATTCCTATTCCTTAAGGTTTTAGTGTCAGGCTATCACCCCATTGAGTATGTGTGAATCCAATTAGGTGGATAAATTATAATCGCTCTGTAATTCATGGCTGATTTCAGACAGGTGCGCGCACGGGTTTAACCAGGTATTCACGGCAACTTTCAATGAATGTTATTAAGGGATATTATCATTATGGAGGAACACGGAATTTAAAACAAAACTCAACTATTTGAGAATATTACCTGATCTATGCTAAACCCAATGCATGCATCGACGTACTTTTAATATAGCAAACTGATGAGGAGTGTGGAAGATACAAGACTTGGGGTGTATGGTTTGACATCATCTATGCGTATTAAATTTAAAGCTACACAATTTGGACCCAAAAGGGTTACCACGTAATAAAGCAATTGATGTTTGACAAGCCTGTCGAAATGTTTTTAGGTGTTTTTCATATACCTACAGATAACAAATTTTCTTGTGTGATGAAGTTGAACGAAATTCAATGCCAAAACAATACACCTATCGAAAACTGTCATAACATAGCCATTTAGACAGAGGAAATCCAAGATCCATCAGAGGGACGGAAGCTCACACCGGCTTCTTTATATGAAGCAAACCATCAAGAAAATCAGAATTACCAGTCAGCAACAAATGATTACATTTTTTAGAATTTAAAATGAAATATCTTAATACATGAACTATGAAAACACCCATCGTTTCAAAAAAAAATCAGTTCTGCATCAAAATAATTATCACATAAACTTATATATATAATCATGGAAAAGCGAACAAAGTGTCTTTAGATATGTTCAATACAGCTGAATGTAATTAATTATACATCGTACGTGAGGAAGAGTGGAGCAGGAGAATGAGTTTTGAATTGTGGTTAAAGATGCAATATTTTTGGGCGTTGACTATGAAGATTCCTGAATAGTGTACTGTACTTCAAACAGTTTCAGGTGTCAACGAAGAGTGGCTCAGTTCGCGATTTGAGTTCCAGTCTCGGGGCCTTACCACATTACCGGCACCAAGCTCCTGGCTATAAGATAACCAGGTTTTCGTAGGCCTAAGTTGGCCAGCTGGAGAAAATTCCATAACCTCTACCACACTACCGGTAGTGCCTTTGGAGTGAAAAGGGAAAAATATCTCTACTAATTGCAACGCAGCGGTGAGAAGTCTTTGGAAGAGTAAACCAAGAAGGCGTGGAAGAGTAAACCAAGAAGGCGCGAAAGTAGACGTGGAGTCAATATCTTCCGGAAAAACCGGATTTCCAGGCGGAAGTGTCTGGTAGTTCGGAGAAATCGATTTCTTTGCCACCTAGGATATATCAAATTGCCACTCCCTCCCGTGTGGTAAAGGGGGAAGTTCGGGTGCCAATAACAAGCGAGTATTCACTGCCGGTAGTGTGGTTTGGCCCTCAATCTAGGAACTCACGTGCCTCGGCGAAGCAATCCTTGTGCTTTTCCTCATGCGGTATGCTCCAAGAAATTGCAATCATTAAGGCTGCAGCAGACAGCATACCAGCACCCCATGTCACCACGGGACGATGTCTTTTGGGGGGTGCGAAGTTGCCAAAGTACTTTGGGGTCATTAAACCATTTGTGCTGGATGAAGTTACTTTTCCCTGGCAGGAACAGATGTCCTGACCAGAGTCGATGACAGGTTATCGACCAGACCTGCGGGCAGTACTTAGCGAAGGGTAATGTGGCAAGTCAAAGAATCTAATCAACGAGCTCGAAGTTATAACCTGCAGAATTTTCAATACATGAGGGCCATTCAGGACGTTCCATCATATTTATAAAACTATGGTGAGACATGCATTTTTTTCTACCAGCTTGCCTTGCTACACAACACCAAATACATGGATGAATTTTTCCGGTTTTAATCCCAGTTTCGGATTCATGTGGACTATTAACTTCATGAGAGGCGATAAAATGAAAGACAACCGTTCTAATATTTCACATGTATAATTAAGTAATTAGTTGGATAGTTTTTGTTGATTTCCTTAAATAGATTAATGAACAATGAATATTTCTACCGTGTCACTCATCATTTCCTTCGAAGCTGTAACACATTATGCTTAAGTTTCAAGATTTTGATGTCCTAATTATAACCTCTATCGGGTCTTTACATTGACTTGATGTCGATACTCTATGAGGGGATCGTTTTGATTATCTATAAAAAATAAATTAAACAAGAAGCTTAATTGCACCAACATGAAGTGATCTTCTACTTATAGATTACCATTTATCGAAGTCTTCTAAAAGAAATTGAGATTTTATTAATTGAGAGGTCTATCAGATAACATAGAAATGAGAAGTAAATGTTTGTTTGCTCGTGCTCATCACAGATCACCGGCCGAATGAAAAGCATTTTACAATCAGAACCATTTGACAGGACTTCAGTCCAAAGTATCATCCGGCCACCCGCATGGACAAGTTTGTGGCCATACCCTTGCTGTTAATAATGTGATCCATGATTCAATAAAACGCATGTCTTATATTATTACTAATTTTCTCGGACGGTTTGTTGGTAGGATCAGTAGATCGACGAATGCACGTCAATGGTGTTGACAAACGCAGAAAATAAATGCTTGCAATTGAGATTTATCTGTAACAAAATTCCCTCTTCTCCGCTGAAACAACCGTGACCTCTACAAACATCCTCAGGATGTATCTGAAAACTTTCTGCTTTACAGTAAGTGCTGGACCTTGGTTTTTCTTACTCCTGAACGAAATGCGAACTTGGTCGAG